GGTCTTGTGACACCAGGTGGATGTACTCATCGGGATCTGCCTGTGACAGCGACTCCCACAGCTGCTGGACAAGTTCTTGTACTGAAAGTTGACCTGCAATGTCAGGAAAAGTAGCTTTGGTGAGTTCAAATATGAGGGCGCCGAAGACCGTGAGGAAGGGAGCTGCCCACGTGCGAAAGAACGAGATGATGGGTCGTGCTTTCTGCCAGTCCTTGGTCGGCTTTGGAAGGATGCGAGCTGTGGGCAACGGTGCTTGAAGTCGAAGTCCCCATGTATATCGCTGACGTAGAAGGGAAGGTACCGTAGTTACCACTTCAGAGCGAAACGATGCTGCGGATTCACGGCAAAGTGAAAAGACATCTCCCGAGCAAAAAGTCTTCCGCATCAGTATAGCAAACAGAGACGGACAAATCACATGTGTACGTGAGGGAAAATGATCCGCGGGAATTACCACCCATGATGACAAAGAAGCCACGGTGCGCTGCAACGATGTCGATGACCAATGAACACGGTCTTGAAGGTTAGCACGATGATTGTCCATCAACTGAGTCAAAACCGGCTGCAAGTCAACAAGAAGACTGGACCCATGCACATGCCAACGACGAGCAAGTTTGCGAAGCTGCGTGGTGAAACGTTGATGTAACAAATCGACATCACCAAAGTACTGATCCTTCATTGATGCGGCCATGATTTCCATGTCAATGTCTGCATTGATGCGTGAGAACTCATCAACCATTACAACATGTCCATGTGCACGGTGTACATGGTGATCTTCGATGTCCAAACAACAACACGGAAAGGATGTTTCAGGAGTCCATCTGCGCTGCCATTTGCGGTAGTTGTAGATTTTGTCGCCCAATGTGGCGCTGCGAGTCTCCACCACCCGGATTTTTGGGAGGAAAAGGGAAGGAAACAAATCACGATGAGAAGCAATCCAGCTTTGTAACCATGTGCCAAGTAGAGCTTTCCAATTCCGGACATGTAGAGGTGGTAGGAGTAGTTGTGTCAAAGTGGTGGGTGATTGTAGCTGTCGTTTGCGTAACACCTGGGCGAGAAGCTTCTGCGCCTTGGATCGGAAGGGCTCGTTGACAAAGACGGAGAGTCGCAAAAAGTAGTAAAGCTGAGTAGGAGGGAAAGCCGCCGATAGAAGGTCACGCATGACTTGGAACGATGCACCTGTATTGGATCCCAGTTGATAGAGAATGGAATAATGGGCCTGAATGTCATCCAGCATGTCGGGGCGTAGTTGCCGTTGAAGATCCGGATGTAGTCGTCGTCGAAACCGCTTGTGCAAGCCGAGGGAAGTGGGAGACGACAACGAATGACGTCGAAAATCAACGAGGTGTTCCCGGAAGCCCACCTTTCGCAAAAGCCTGTGTACCCAGGGTGCATTCAAATGCGGGCGTAGCAGGTATTGCCATTTGCTTTCCTGAACCCAAACCGAGGAAACGGGAAGTTTGATCTCAACTGGAACAGCACAAAAGAGCCAGTAAGTGTTGGATCGCTTCCAGTAGTGCAGCGCGGGTTCAAAGAATGCATGACGTCCCCGAAGTAGTTGTAGAAATTTGCGACTGCGTGAGTGTTCACGTCGTAGAACATCCTGATCAGTCGCACCAACGTAGTAAGGTGTGTGCCATGGGGAAAGTCGGATGTAAACGCACGGTTGTTGATGATGACCTGGATCGTGGATGAAGTCATAGAGGTCCGGAAATCGCGCCCGCAATGAGCGAAGATGCCGCGTATCGGCAAAGGTGGAGTGCATGATTTCACACAAGAGAGATGCCTTGTAGAAGTGAAGGACTTCAAAGAATGGCGGAAAGTAGCCATGATCTTGGGAAATGAGACGTTGTAGGAAACTGATCAATAAATAGGCAGTGCACCGGCATCGATGAAGCTCATACCTGTTGGCCACAGTGTGTTGAGATTGTGACATAGCGTGATGCGGAATTTGAAGGGCAATCCGGACCACGACTAATACTTCCAGAATGAGGCCCAACCACGGTAGCTGTGTGATTGATTCGTACTCCTCAGCTGGTATCGACGGTGGTGGTAATCCAGGGAAGCAGTATTGCCAGCACGTAGAGAACATGGTCAACGAGTGTAGAAAATTGTCGAGAGACTGCCATTGTGCAACATCATCATAGATTCCACAGCGGCGAAGCTCATCCAACATGGTGCAATTGCAACCAATGAAATCGACTATGAGGCGGCGACATGGTTACAAGCTGCTCAGAAAATCACGTACAAGGCAATGCAAGCACAACCAAGCACAAGATCAAACTGATGTCACGCAAAAAGATGACGGACAAGTTTTAACCTTGACTCATCCGTGACACGGGTGCCGCTCCGGGCTCATAAGATAACGAAGATCGTCAAAATGTCTGCTCATCAGCTGAGTAGTCGAGCGGTCACGATGAGGTGACTCAATGCCTTCTCAGTGAGCTTGGTGAGATAGCCAGGCTCCAGTCCCCACGAAGCCGCCATCGCCCCGAGAGTGGGTGCGTCACCTTTCGGCATGCGTTGACGCGCCTGAAGGAGCTGCGTCGCCATGGAATCCAATGACTTGTTGCCGTTGAGTCGGGACGGGTGATTAGCCCATTTGACTAGTGACGTCAAAGTCGTGGTTGTGGGCGATTGCTTGAGATAAAGGCGTGGCTGGTCACTGGTCCATGTGTAGTACTTGACAACTTCTTCCGGCGTGCTGTGCATGGTGAGCAATTGTGACGCCGCCGGCTTGGACGGCGGTGAAGACACTCCGTGAAGAGACTGAATGATCCGGGGTTGCACCGCGCCATCAAACGACTTGCCATCAAGGGCCGCTGCACTGGCGGTAGGAAGGGAGCTGGCAGGTGAAGAGGATTGCGTGTGGTTGACCGGTGGAGGTGTAACCAACTCTGCATCATCTTTCTGGCTTGCCATCGTGGGAGAGGTCGAAGCGCGCAGTGATGCTGAATACTGAGCCTGGAGCAGTTCATGCGCACGGTTGAGATCATTGTACTTCTTGACCATGTCATCTGTCTGTGTAGAAGGCGTGAGAGAAGCATGGTGTTGCTGAAGAAATTGAAGTACCGAGTTGGCCAAATGCTCATGGACCTTGATCCGCTGATTGAAGTCATCGATGTTGAGACCCAGCGAGTTGGCAAGGTCCTTTTCCAGGGTGAGCAGGTTGATCGACTGTGATCGTCGTAGTAGTTTGGAACAGGTACTCCAAAGTAAGGCCTCGGTGCGTGTGCGAAAGCCTTCCCACGTCACGAATCTGCCGTGAGCGAACGGTCGGAGGAGCCAGTTGGTGAGGCCCCCATGAATGACCTGAACCAGGCGAACGTCACGAATATCCATGCCTGACATGTCGCGCAGGTTGCCATGCGGAGTGTTGGCAACGGTCATGGGCAAGCTAAAGTTGTAGAGCTGATTGACATCAAACATGCCATCTCCAGGTGTCCAGTCAGGCGATGGTGTAAGCCAGGCTTTCTGAGGGCGAACCGGTAGAGCCGCAGGAGGTCCAGGTGGCGCTGTAGGTTGCTGAGTAGTGACCGGTGGAGGCATCACGGGCGGCATGAACTTCGTTGGCGTGGGGTCCGGAGGGATCGGCATCATGTAGTTGATCGATGGATGTTGAAATTGCTGTGTGGGACTGTGAGTCGATTGAAAATTGGTGGGCATCATCGGGAAGTTGTTGGCAGAATTGTAGCCGGAATTGTGTTGCCAAGATACCAGATTGTTCCAATCCATGCCATCCGGGACGTGGTGTTCATTGTGTTCACGTCGGTGTGCTTTCCGAGCTTGAGGAGAAGTACTCCGATCACGTCTGCGCCGAGTCCTGGATCTATCACGATCATCACGTCGAGACATGGTCACAAAATCGACCCTCAATCGTCACGCTTTCATCTTGAGAAACACGCATCAGTCAACAAGCAAATTCATGAAACGGCAAGGAATCAACGGCAAGATATCAACCACTTCAACCAATATAAAGCAATAAGCACAGGTGAGACGTCACTATGATCTGACCGCTGTCTTCCCTTTAGTGAGACCTCGTTCCTGGTTAAATGTGAAATTCCGCTGTTCTATGATAAGCAGGTTGAGGTCAAATTTTCCGACAGAGCCGGCCCGGGGTCACACAATGGGTACACCCGAGGATTCCCCACGAATGGGGTGTACACACTTGAACTCCAAATGGAGAGTGCTAATCTTTCGAGTACAACTGATGAGTCTCGAGTACAACTGGTGAGTCTCGAGTAGGTGTAGGCTCTGCTCGCAATGCACTCGGTTTCCCTTTAGTGTCGAAACCGTTACGAGATTCAACATGAAGCACACACAGCGAGAAAACAACGGGCCAAAAGGACATTGCACAACAGGTGTGGGAACTGTCGCAGGTACGCCGGAGTGGCCAACTCCGGTATCCCGTCTTGCTGCCTAGCTTTGTTAGACCAGGTCAGCAGCAAGACGCCTGGTCCCCCTGCTGATAAACCGAAATGGTGGTGACATGGCATTCTGTCACTCCGCACACACACACACACATACAAGTTGTTCTCGTAAACAAAGCATTCAACCTCATTGGCGACTAGTAGCAGCAGCAAAGACGAAGGGACGCGCAGTCAGAGAAACCCATTGAGCAAGCACTGCGTGTCCCGCAAAAAGTCGCTGAAGAACGTGCAGCAGTCAACCTGACATCCTCAAAACGTACCTGGTGGTTCATACCCCCTTCCACTCGGGAGGAAGTGGCGAAGACCCTCCAATTGTTTTTCTAGGGGCCTCGGCCCAACCAGGCTCCACAACAAAACAGACCTAACTCGATGGGCGTTGCTTGAATAGGAACCAGCTGTGTGATGGCTACCTTTCTTACACAAATTGTGATTCGGTAAAGACAAACAAAGCCTGAAATCTCTGGGCAATGAGAATCTAGAATTTCCAACCAACTCGAAGAAATCATGGGAATCCGACCCACCACCCCCCTAACAAACAAAAGCAACAACGCCAAGCAAGCAACTTTCTGGCACCTGCAACTGCAGCTCCCGCAAGGACTGCAGCAGCTCCCTCCCGCGAAGCAGCTGCGTGGCATGCTTGGGATTCTGCCGGAACCTTAGCTCTGCCCACGTGTCAACCGATTGATTCCGACGCTTAAGCATGGCATTGCAACAAGGGGCCCCAACAAAGGGGAATTCCTCCAGACATGCGCAAAGCGGTGCACACCCAAAATAATCAGAAGCGCTTCGTAATAAATCTGGGAAATGGGGATACTCTCTTTGCTTTTTACTCCCCTTTTGTTACTCTCCCTTTGGGCAGGAAAGTACCAGCGCGGAGTTCCGACCGACATGTCTACAGGGTCACCCCATCTTGGCGCTAAGGGAAACAGTTCCACCTTTGTATACATATATATATGCTCACCCCCCCCCCATGATCCACATTTGGCATTGCTGCAGTGTGTGGTCTCAGCTTTGGCTCCTTAATTTGAATGGCTGAAGTACTCTTAGCCCGTCTCCCAATGGAGGCTGTTAAAATAATAACAGCCATGGCAACGAGCGCCACGCCGAGCCCTATCGCTCCATCCAGATGGCCTACAAAAGTAGGTTATCTACCATGTGGCTACTTGGCCGATTTCATCGAGTCGAAAACTGCAGTTTCTTATGGGGTCCTTCTGCTGTCATTTCTGCTCTTGCCCATCTAAGGATCGGAAGTGTTCAGCTTCGAAGGCTTGCACTTCAAGATCAGCGCGAGCGAGGAGACCGTCCTCCAAGAGAATGAACTTGGCTTGATTATGAGTGAGAGGCATTTGCCATAGTTTTTTATGGGACAGTCCTTAGGACTGCTTTTACTCTCTCAGTTTTCCAAGCCGCAAGGAAAAAAAGCCTGCTGACCATGTACGCCTGAGTCTGCTTGCATATCAAGCTCATTAAGTTTCCTTGTGCTATACTGCATCCATTGCAAAGCTGGGCAACTTTCTGATATTCCAACCCCATGATCCACATTTGGTATGGCTGCAGTGTGTGGTCTCAGCTCTGGCTCCTTAGTTTGACCCCGCAGTGTGTAACTAATGGCTGAAGTACTATTAGCCCAACTCCCAATGGAGGCTATTAACATACTGCTTGCATCTCAAGCTCATCAAACTTCCGTGTACTCTGCTGCAGCCATTTCAATTTGAGGTAACTTCCTGATACTCCCTTCTGCTCCAATCATGGCATCTGTGCCTCCTCATCGTGCTGAGTCGCTGGCTCGTTCCTTCGACAACGCAAACCTGGACGGCAACTGCACATTGGAGGAAGCCATCGCCCACACCGACGGCATGAAGATCCTTTACCTGGAGAAGCCAATGGTGGTGAACAAGGAGCCCGGTTCCATTAAGCTAGGCGATTTGCCAGCTAAAATGGAAATCACCGACTCCGTGAAAAAGAAGACGCAGTTCCTCGATGTCATTGCTGACCACGAAGGGCCTATTGACTTGAATGCGGTAGAGACAATGTTCCTTCAACAACGGTATGCCGACCTACCCGAGCCCGTGCGCATGAAGGGGAACTTCCAGGCCCCCTACAACATGCAGATTTTCATCATCCCCAAGGAAGGGGGCAAGAAAGACATCATTAAGCACATCAAATTCCTAGAAGGTGCAAAGGTCCTCCACAGCTCCATCATCTCTATGTGCCAGGGCGTTCCACTCGAGATCGACTTGCAGGGCAAGTACCGCGATGGTGGTCGAGGACTACAGTACATGCTCGAGGGGCTGGGCGGCTTCCAGGTCCGCTACCAGAAGCTCGTGTCCGCCGGTGCCTCGAGCAAAATGCCCAAATCCGTCAGTTTGGCCCGGAAACTCCGACGGGCAATTCACAGTGTGGACGGAGGAGCAGGTCAACGATCCGAACGGCCCGCTCCACAAGTGGGACAAGGGGACCATCAAGGAGTTCCTGAGGTGCCTCGCGGACCAAGGCTCTCAAGCTAATACGATCAAGGAGTGGCCTCTCACCTTCAAGAGCATCACGCCGTGGGCTTTGAACACTATCCTTGCACCGATTCTTCCTCATGTGATGCCCCACTCCGTTATCTGGATTGGCAAGTCTCAGGTGGGTAAAAGCCCGGTGTCCTACACCCTCTCATCTGTGGTGTCCGCATATTGGTTGATTCAGGAAGAGAAGGAGGGCAGCCCTTGCTTTCAGACATGCAACCACCTCGACTACTTCCGCAAGGAGAAGGGCAGGCGGACGAAACCGAGGGTGTTTGATGATGGCAACCTCAACCTGGAGCATCCCGCAGGTGTTAAGGCAGTGACGGAGGTGGACGGCGTCGACAGGAAGACAATGGCAAGATACAACGCGTCCTCGTACGCGAAGAATCAGCTATGCCAGATTTGCAGTAATCCCTATGACAGGACTGCAGAGCCGCCGATGGACGCCAATTCGACTCAGGACACCGTGACCTTCGAGCAGTTCTACAAGATCGTGCGCCCCTCCTTCCACAGACAGGGACTTCGATGAAGAGGACCTTGTCGGTGTCTTCAAGCGATCCACCTTCATCGTCTTCACCGATGTGGGCATGTACGTACGTGTGCCAGGCACAGACCGCAAAGCCGTTCCCCGGTATGCCTGGCCAGAGCGGGATATTGGCATGATCTCTCCATCTGCCCGACCCCTTTTGGCTGCCTACAAGCGCGGTAACCTCTCTCACTTGCCGGCAGATCATGACAAAGACATGCAGTGGAGTTTGAACTTGCTGCAGGCTGCGCTGGATGGCGAGGAGGTCCGCTATTGTGCGACCACCCGTGGGAAAGAACTGTTCTCAGGAAGGGAGTACGTCATTGAAGATCGACCAACACTCGCGGGCATTGAGGGCAAGACCAAGTACTACCTGGATGCTGGCGCTGCCGTCGACGAGCCGCCCACTAAGAAGCTTCGATCTGTGAAGTCCTCTTCCAACTTGCTCAAGGAGATCAAGAACGAGAATGCGCAGGATGCCAAAGACGAGCCGAAGGACGAGGATGAGCAGAAAACAAAAGAAGAACAGAAGGAGAACGAAGATGCGCAGGATGCCAAAGACGAGCCGAAGGACGAGGATGAGCAGAAAACAAAAGAAGAAGAGAAGGATGAGGACGTGCAGGGTATCAAAGAAGAACCAGAGGAGACGCATAAGGTGCACATCAAGCAAGAGCCAGTGGATCCCTCCTACTTTTCCAAGCCATTGAACCTGCGCCCTCTGGTGATCAACCTGTCAGACACGTCTGAGGATGCAAGTGACCCAGCCTCTGCTGCACCGGCTGCAGCTGATGCGGTGGACCCTGTGGAGAAGCTTTCTGACCCTACAGCTCCTCCAGCAGCCGATGTGGTGGATGAGACCAAGGTCCTTGTGCCTTTGCCGGCTTCTTCTCCTGATGTGGTGGACCCTATGGACGAGATTCCCGACCAGTATGACATCGAGGCATACCGAACCCTTTCCCAAGAACTCGCGGATGCCATGGACATTGACGACAACTGAGCCGCGTGTGAGCCGCACTCAGCGGATTTTGTTCTAGAAGATAGAAATATAAACCCAATAGAGACATGGAGCTTGGCTAAAAAAACATTAGGTCTCCAGTGCCATCTTGCTTGCACATGTTGCTTGGAAGCGAATCGCATTGATCGTTTACGCAGCCATCTGCTTCAATCGCCTTGATCCTTTGTAGTTGATCTTGCCCATCATGCCAAAGAAGGTCATGAAGTCCGTGAAGGCCAAGTTCCCAGATCCTAAGCGGGGGAAGTGGCGCGTGCAGCGAAGGCCTGCCTCAAAGAATCCTGCTCCGGTGCCATATGTCCGCCATGGCATGCCCACTACCAAGAACAAAGGCCACAGAGCGCGCTGGGGGCGTTCGATTTTGACTTGGGAATCTTTGACTGGACAGCGTCTCCACAAGCAGCTCCACAAGGACAAGATCCTCACAGACTGGGAAGGCAGAACTTGCCCTCGATGTGGCAACGGCGTAATGGGGCCCCTGAAGTATTACCATGACAAGAAGATTTGGGCGTACCGGTGCAAGAAGCGTGCCTGCCACAAGCAACTTCAGCCTCATGACTACCATCCCATCTTCTTCATGTCTGCTGGCAATTCTTCAACTCCACTTCAGAAGCAGGTGGCGGTCCTCTTCTGCGCGGTGGTGGGGGTCTCGAGCAATGCGGCGCACCTGCTCCTGGATATGGACCACAAGCCAGTGGAGCGCATCTACCACAACCTGGAGGTCGCTCGCTCGCAGTACGTCACCCAGAAGGAGAAGGACATTGTCTTCGGCGGGAAGTGGGAGGACGTGGAGGTGGACGAGGTCGACATTGGCAAGTTGACCGACGAGAGCGTGGCGGGAAACCTCAACACGAAATGGGAACAGTGGGGTGGACTCGTGGAGCGAGGAAGGCCATCCTCGCTGGTGCTCTTCAGGCTCAACCCCATCCTCACCAAAAAGAGATCTCCGGGGCCAGGTCCCATCAGGAAGAGGGACTGGCAGCCGATTGCGAAAAAGCACATCGCGGGCCGGAAAGTCATCCTCCACAGCGATGGGGCCAGAGCCTACAAGCTCAGGTTGCCGGACGTGAGGCATTGCAACGTCGTGCACAAGAAGAAGCGCATCGTCATCAACGGCAAGGCAAGTAACTCTGACCTAAACTGCTTTAACTGCCTCTTAAGGGATCTACTTGATTCTGTTATTTCTGTCTGTCAGGCCGTTTGGGTGAAGCCCCACTACACCAAGCAGTACGACGTCAAGCTGCCGGACGGGAAGAAGGTGCGTGTGAAGAGCGGCACCCAGATCATCGACCGGTTCTGGAACACCCTTCGATCTCACCTGAAACACACGAATAGAATCCCCGGCAGTCAGGTTCTCTTGCGAAAGCTGAGATCCGCACAGTTTGAATACTGGCATCGCCGCGCTAATATGTGGGAGGCGACCGGCCAGATGCTGCAGGCACTGCACAAGCAGTGATTACCGGATATGCGCTCGAAGGAAAAAGGCAAGAAAAATGCAAGCCAGCTCGTCGGAGTGACAAACATCTGCTACTGCCTTCCCACATCCACAATTTTTAAAAACAGTACAGCACTTTCTGCATGCTTAAAAGTGCTGTACTGTCCCTAAAATCCAGGCCTTGGAGGCAGAAAGTGCTGTACTGTCCCTAAAAAAACCTAAAAAACCATTCCAGAAACAGTCTTGAGCACACAAACCTCCTTCTGGCAAGGAATTTTTGGTTTTTTAGGGACAGTACAGCACTTTTTTTGGTTTTTTAGGGACAGTACAGCACTTTTGAGCATCAGCATGCAGAAAGTGCTGTACTGTCCTAAAATCCAGGCTTTGGAGGCTGAAAGTGCTGTACTGTCCCTAAAAAACCTAAAAAAAAAACATTCCAAAAACAGTCTTGGGCACACAAACCTCCTTCTGGCAAGGATTTTTTGGTTTTTTAGGGACAATACAGCATTTTTTGGTTTTTTAGGGACAGTACGCATCAGCATGCAGAAAGTCCCTAAAATCCAGGCTTTGGAGGCTGAAAGTGCTGTACTGTCCCTAAAAAACCTACAAAAAACATTCCAAAAACAGTCTTGAGCGCACAAACCTCCTCTGGCAATGATTTTTTGGTTTTTTAGGGACAGTACAGCACTTTTTTTGGTTTTTTAGGGACAGTACAGCACTTTTTGCACGCTGATGCTCAAAAGTGCTGTACTGTCCCAAAAAAGTGCTGTACTGTCCCTAAAAAACACAAAAAAGTGCTGTACTGTCCGGCTTGTGTGCCCAAGACTGTTTTTGGAATGGTTTTTTAGGTTTTTTAGGGACAGTACAGCACTTTCAGCCTCCAAAGCCTGGATTTTAGGGACAGTACAGCACTTTCTGCATGCTGATGCTCAAAAGTGCTGTACTGTCCCAAAAAAACCAAAAAAGTGATGTACTGTCCCTAAAAAACCAAAAAAGTGCTGTACTGTCCCTAAAAAACCAAAAAAAGTGCTGTACTGTCCCTAAAAAACCAAAAAAAGTGCTGTACTGTCCCCTAAAAAACCAAAAAAAGTGCTGTACTGTCCCTAAAAAACCAAAAATTCCTTGCCAGAAGGAGGTTTGTGTGCCCAGGTTTTTTAGGTTTTTTAGGGACAGTACAGCACTTTCAGCCTCCAAAGCCTGGATTTTAGGGACAGTACAGCACTTTCTGCATGCTGCTTCCATAAGTTCCATCTGCTCCCTGCTAACTTTTTTTCCAGAAGGCTGTCCACACAAACCATCTGTAAGCATCTGCTTCAAGGTGCCTAACATCTGTCCATCAAGAATGTCGCAATCTTTGACTAATCTACTCATCAAGAATGATGCTTGTTTTTGACCCAAGTTTCCAGGATCAGAATCTGATCCTGGAACAGGTGGTCAAAAACAAGCATTTTACATGTGTTTTTTCTAGTGTTTTTTGCTTGCAAGAGGCAAAATGTGGATCATGGGGGGGGGGGTGACCATATATATATATACACATCATACGACTATGATGCCTGTGTGCATGTATGCAACCGTGTTTCCAAAGCACATACCGAGCTTTAAATAGTTACCAATCATGTGGTTTGGCGCGGTATGGCAGCTTGTCTGACTAGCATTGGATGTTTGTACGTATATAATATACGTAACATGCAATGTGTGTGTGCAATCTGTACATGTATAAACATATATATGTATGCATATTTATACACCCTATTTTCTCAGTGGGTTGAACATTCGGGAAACACAGGTGTCAGCTGCATACTTACAACTAGCTTCAAACAACTAAACGTACTGCTTGAGCAAGTGCTGCAGATCCATACGTAGCCTAGACAGAACGTTTGCCGCCACATGCCAGAATGCTCAGGAATAGACGCCTGATGCCGTGCGCCGTTGTGCTTAGCGTGCAGAAAGTGGTAATGAAGATGATGGGATGCTCAGTGCGTGCTGCTGGATGCTTCCATGCTGCTAATGCTGGCCCGTTGACCAAGGCAACACAGCAACACAGTGGGCCCATCACATCACCTCGAAGAGAAGTCATAGTAAAGCTTTTAGGCGCCAGGTGGGCATCACATTGTACGTTCACAACCAGCTGCCGCTTGCAGCCAGTGCACGCAAAAAGCCTGTGGGCAAACATATGCACTTCAGCGGGCCTAAAGGCATGCAACTACCATCCACTTTCCCTCTGGCTTGCTGCACAAGTTGTCCAGTTTTATGTGGGGCACCAACAAATTACAAGAAGCGCCTGAAAAGGGCTTTGGCGCCCTTCGACTAGTTGGGTTAGAAACCTGCTTTTCGGGTTTGAAACGCCAAACCCGGTCATGTTGCTAGGCTCCGCACCCAAGCTGGGCATGTCCGGCCCTAAGGGGTTTCGAGGCTCGAGTTCTATCGGGAAATGGGAGAAATTATCCGTGTCCCTTACCCCACAAAACATCACATATCCTCCCTCACACTAACATGTTACATGATTTGCCCCGAATACAACACCAAAAATAAAAATGGGTTGGATCTCTCTGTTGCCATACCTGACAGGGGTTGAAGAACCTAAGCAAATTCTACCTGTCAGTTGGCCCGTGGTGGGGGACAACAAAGGAAACCGTTAACCAATTTATAATGGGTTTTAAGATTATGAGGCTTGCAGCATCCCTACCCTACCAATGCCACGAGCAAAACCTGAGAACCTTGCATCATGAAGTGTTGGTGCTGGTGCACCCAGATCCGCCCACTACCTCCCATCAGCTTGAACAATAACCAAAAAATGGACACGCAACGCCAACTTGCAGAGGAGCCCCCTCACCATCCATGCTGGGGACCTATTTTTCTTTTTAGAGTGTCCTCCTATCTCAGATTCAGCTAAACAAAACAATCTCACGTCGGGCTACGTCCAAAGAAAGAGCTTAGACTACTAGACAATGCATGTGAGGAACGTTCGATATGTAGCATACTACGGTTTCCGGTGGGTTTACTTGATGGGTCCATGAGACATATTTAATTCTACAGAATCATTGCGCATCAAACAGTATAGTATGGCGTGTGCCAAATCGAAACCGGACAGTTTTAGAAACGCAAGGTTTGTAGAAAGGACCTAACTGGAAACTGGAAACAAGCCAAACCTTTTTTTGGCACGCACACAGGCACGTGGCTTGTCAACATAGCAATCATCTTTATATAACCTTTGAAAAAAGCCTAGGTTACCTGGGATCCAGGGTGGCCAATAGAAGGTCTGCACAGGTCATCAAAATATTTCACGCCGTGTCGTTTGTCGTTTCGTACAGGGGGAGTTTGTTTATATATATATATACGTACATTATGTATATTATATCTATATGCACGTGTATTCATCAAAGGGCCACGCCATCCAGAAAACGCTTGGGATACTTCCCCTGAACTCCAACGCTTGAACCCGGCCTCACTTGCATTGCGATTCGCGTCGCGAGAGTTCTGAGCCAAGTACCGAAGCATGTGGCACACTTCCCATGCTGAAAAGAACATCTGAAAATCAGGTTCGTGCCATTGCCATGGCACAAAAAAGGGTATTAAGTGAAAAAACGGGAATGTGTCAAGCGGGAGGGCATTCCAAACGAAGCGAATTGAGCGCTGGTGCTTTCACAGGTTGTAATACAGACCCAAGCCAGAGCAGGTGGAAAGCAAAACGCACGCGGACACGCAGAGACAAACAAACCCAAGCACAGTAACCCACGGCCACACTCGGCCACACACACAGCTACGCGCACACACACACACACACACACACACACCCACCCACCCACTCACCCACCCACGCACGCACGCACGCACGCACGCACGCACGCACGCACCACGCACGCACGCAATACACGAAGCACGCATGCAGGCACACACACACACAGCCAGCTTTGCAACTAACTTGCTGTACACTCCTGAACACTGGCGGGCTTCCCCTTTCAGGGAGCCTCTGCCAAAGTAAACCTGAGTCTTCAAAACGAGGATGGATCTGCATCTCGAGCATTTTGCACATAAGCGAACAATGAACAATGCGAACTTGATTTGGCGTAGACACAAAACAACACACGTGCCGTGGGCCAAAATGCAAACCAACTTGCTTTGCTCACTGTTCGCTTTGGTTCCATCAGTGGCCATCTAAGGCTCATGCCGCAGGCCGTACTCATCTGTTCCGAATGTTGAAATCAATATGGATTCAGAAGCGGATTGCTCTGGGCAACTTTGGCCCACACAACTGACAGCCTCCGCAAAACTCCCCTAAGAGTCTGTGCTCTTCACTGTCATGAAGCTTGCTACTTCCCTCCCCTCCTCAGGCTGTTCAGGCTCTTCAGGCTGTTCAGCCTCTTCAGGCTGTTGAGCCTCGTCTCGGCCGGCCTCTTCTTCGCCAGCCTCTCTGTGTTCAGCCCCTTCATGGCCAGCCTCGTCCTTGGACTCTGTGTGGCGAAGGTCATAAGAAAGCACACACACACACACACGAACAAAAACACACAAACGCAAACACAGACACAAACTCACAGAGAGACGCAAACAAGCTTCATGGATCTGAGAAACATGCAGAACAGTCAGCAGGCGCAGCAATTCGGCTATGAATCTCTCTCCGGAGCACTACCCGTCCCGTGTCACTTTCTTCAACAGCTACATAAGATAGAATGGGCAAACACAATTCACAGTCAACTCATTGCCAGCCTGGCGGGCCCCAATCACAGTCTTATTGCCTGTGTCAGCTTACTTGACAACACATAACTTCGTGCCCCTGCCAGTGCACAGCTTGGCCAAGATCCTGTCTGAGGTTTCGGCCACATGAACTGGGGGGGGCTTTGGTATTTGTCTCCAACCATCTTCCAGTGCCCAATAACATTCCAAGCCACTTCTTGTCGGATTTGGTACCCTTTTGGGTGGTCTCAAAGCAGACGAGAAACACATCCGCCACCGATCCGCCGAGGCGCGTCCGCATAGGTGGAGGCGCAGGCCGCCCGGGATGTAGCGCGAGATGAGTCGCTGAGTGCCTACACAGAGTGATGGGGAAGTATATGGCCATATGGCCTAGGGTTCAACAGCTCAAGCCCCGTCAAAATGATATGTTGAAAAAAAAAAAAGGATCCGGCATATTTTTAGTGCCCTCCTTTTTGTCGGGCGCTTGGCCTGTTTTTGAATCGAGGGCACTGAAAAGAAGCTGGATGATACCACTCCTTAGATAAAAACAATGTCAGTTATCTTTCTCCCGCTCACAGGATCCCAGGCCGCAGGGCCCGATTTTCTTTAGGGGGACCCTTGTTGCACAAACCGTCGAAGCGAATGGCCGAAAGGAACGTGTGGTTGGAACCTTCCACAGGCTGACATGCGTCATGGCATCCTCCCAACTGTTCTCCTGCTAAACTCCAGCCCTTTCCCAGTTTTGCATTTTCTCCCAAAATGACCTAAGGAGGTAAGCTTGCCTACTGGACACTTTGCAAGCTCCACACCTTTCTTCCTGGACACGTAGCAAGTTGCACTGCCACCCCTGCTCTGTCCAAAAGTCCCTCATACATGTCATCACTCCAATGTTGTTTAGCCTGTTGCCCTTTGCAGCCAGGTGTGATCTCATCTTGCTGTCGCAGATCTCGAGCACTCTGAACGCCAGCATGCAATTGTCTACTAAGGTAGTGGCTTGCTTTGACGACTCACAGGCAGCGGGCGCTAATAACGAGAGCATTCCATTAGAACAATTTTCCTAGAGGATTGTAGAACAATTCAAGTATTGCGCCTCCAGCGAATCTTGGAAACACATACTGGACAAAACTTTGAAAAGACTTTGCGTCTTCCCAAATTGGCATTGGTATGTCCTGGACCACTTGGTTGAAAGCACCACCGTGAGATGTGCTTTCGTAGCGGCTGCATCAGTCACCTGGCTGTGGATACACTTACGAATGCTGCGGAAGTGCATGGCGTGATTGTGATAGCGTTGACATCCTCAGCCCGGACTAGCGCAGTCATGCGTTCAGTTGAGCTGGGAGCGTCACAGTTGGGACGAGTGACTCCTCTACCCTCACTGCATGGCCGTCAGTTCTACCCCTCTCACTCAACTTGAACATCTAGTGGCAAATTGCAACGAAAGAACTATCACTCTCAGCAAAAATGGGGGATAGCCAGCTAGGCTCATCTAGGCATTCAGGTATACCCGTCTTTCCCCTGAGGGAAGTTTAAAGTCGCTGGTACTTGTGAAGGAAATAGGATTGAAAAAGAAGGTCCCTTGGCGCCAGTCGCAGGAACAACCTTTGGAGGGGGAAATGCCCAACCCCCTCCCTCAAATGCCTCAGAGGCTGCGGTTCGCCGCGTGCGGCCTTTCGGGCCTGAAGCAGACTTCACAAAAAACTGTCCTTTGCAGGTGTCAAGGCCACATCAAGCAAGCACTGTAACATGCATTGACACAGTCACACAATGGGTTTGTGTATGCGGCTCTATTGCGTTGTTCACATGGGTGCATGTCACGCGCGTTCACTGCAAGCTGCTTTTTAAGTGGAGAAGGGCTGTATGAACCTGCTTTCCGCATCCAAACCGAAGTCAGAATGCAACAGCCTGATGCTGCCATCCAATGCATGAAAGCCTGGCCCTGGTGCGAACGAAAAAGACTTCAAAGGGCTGCCCGCCAGTTTCAGAAGGCCAGCCAAGACCGGCTCCAGAAAGCATCTGCCCTGACTAGTCGTCATGAATCAAGGGATCCACTACCATACGAGCAACACAAATCTACCACTAGAAATAAGGGACGCATTTCACCCATAGACATTAGAAAGGGACCTTCGTCATGGGGCTCGTGTTACCGCGTCAGCTGCTCATGATTAGTGCGGGATTTGCAAATGCGGTTGCTTCGGTGGTCTGCCAAAAGTGCAAGTTGTTCCGTTTTGGGCCAGGTCACGAGAACTCACATTGGAACCCAGCAAACGCGCAAATCAAAGCAGCATCCTCGAGCCCTCATGTTCTCTGTTTGTGGTCGTTCGTTCGAAACAATGGTAGAATCCTTTCTTCTGCCAAACTGGCAGCTACCACAAAACAATTCGTCATGTGACATGTGGTGCTTATTGTCCAGAGTAACGCCTCCTGCCCAAGGATTTCTCAGCTTTCCGCCCGCCTCGGGTCTTGGCCTTGGCCGCGTGCTGGTCCAGCTCCGCCCACGCAGTGCCTTAAGGTCGGGTCAGCATAGTGTTGATTTCAGTGTTCCCCCCAACCTTGCTGGTGCTCAGTGGGGAATGTGGGAATGAACCCGGAGGTCCCCTTGAAGGAAACAGGATGGTTTATAAAGGTCCTTCCCTCATGCCCTGCGAGCACCAGCAAGCAACCCCCAGCCAGGAGAACCATTGGTTGATTTCGGACAATCGAGAGATATGTATAGGCTGAGCGAGGACATCTCAGGGTTCATCATATGAGCATGAATCTCTCAAATAACGAGAAAATCAATTAAAACACTAAACAAATACGAGAAGTTAAGAGATCTTTGAGCAGGAAGATCAACACCTCATCTTAAGCAAATGAAGGCTAAATTCTGCATGTGTTCAAGGAAAAAACCAAGGGACAGCTGCAATTGGTGGGTTCTCCGGGGAGATCCATCTTCCCCCTTGTGGCGGGATTGCATATCACTGCCATGTGGTCTTCCTTTTGATGGCCTGAACTGTGAAGGGAACAAATGTTTGGTTATTGGGAAGCATTTTGCATTTTTCTTTATTGTGGTTTACTGGTTGGAATCCAAGCACTTAACTGCTAAAAAAAAACGTGTTTGCTCACCTTCCAACGTCAACCGGGTAAAGGAGTTCCTCCAGTCATAGATTCCTCGCTTGCCCCATGAGAGACACCCTTGTTGAACATGAGGTGCGGGATCTCTAAAGGAATCTTCGACTCTTTGCTTGTTGTGGAGGTCGAAAGCCTTGCTCTGGCCCGCTGGAACTTCAAACCATGGGGGACGGAAAAGCCTGGGGAAAACAGGTGAATATCCGACAATATCATAACTATGACACTAAAACCAAGGGCAACACCGGTACCTACTGTGGATGCCCCAAATCCTGCACCAGTTTATCCGAAAAATCCGCGGGGTTTTGGCCCGCTGGAACTTCAAATCATGGGGGACGGAACAGCCTGGGAAAAACAGGTGAATATCCGACAATATCATAATTATGACACTAAAACCAAGGGCAACACCGCTACTGACTGTGGATGCCCCAAATCCTGCACCAGTTTATCCCAGAATTCGCAGGGTTTCATCCATCTGTGGTGCAGGATTTGCTCCAAACCTAACGCACGTCGCTTGTGGTGGAACCCACTGGACACAAAGCGTTTCCTCGCTCAGGGGGTTTGGGAATGAAGCGTGCGGGGTTTGGGATGGGCCAGTTCGGGGTCATGGCCCGATTCGCTGCCCAGGAGAAATGGACATTTTCGAGCCAAGCAAGCGATAAATGAGCGAGGCAATGGAGTGTCTGTTTTTGCTTGGATCCCAAAAGGGTGGAAATCCTCTTGGTGTCCCTTCAAAACAAGGAAAAGGAAAGTAGCTACCCTCAAAAAGCGGACAAAGGGGCAGAGCCCTACTTAAAGAGGCACCTAGTGTTAGTAAACCTGGATATAACCCACCTAGGATACTTATAACCATGGTAAGTGTCTGGGGCCCCAACACACTGCAGTTGTTTGGTCAAAAGGCGTTGCCCGAAAAAGTGGTCATACGGCCAAATACGGGCAACTAAGGCAAATGACCGGAAAAAAAAAGAAGAAACACCAAAAACAAAACACGTACGGGTAAAAACGGGCCAAAAATATGCCTTTTGACCGAACAACACAGTGCCATTTCGGGGTTCCAGGGTTAGACCGATGGGTATTTCCCACCTTCTTTCTTCCCCTGCCCCTAGCAACCGAAACCGGCGGAAGTCGCGTGGACTCCGCCCGAATGGAGTCGTCAGGGCACGCACCTGGCCCTGGAAGGCGCTGAGCGCCTGCAGCAGCTGCCGCGCCCCCTCCGCGTCCGAAGAACTCCCCGAGCCGAGGCCGAAAAAGCGCAGCAGAGCCCGGCAGTCCACCTGCGGACCCGGTGCAGGCGGCACGCGAGCTCCGTGCAGTGCGGAAACAAAACGCAGAAGAGAACATACTGTGGACGAAATCCTGCACCAACAAACACTGGCTTCCCATGGTTTCAAAGTGCAGGAGTTCGTCCATCCACAGCATTTATCACCTACTGCGCCAAATCATTTCGCACCACCAGGGCAAACATCGTTTCAGGTTTTCTTAGGTGGTGCAGGGATTCGTCCATAGTAGGAAGCCGGTTCTCTGTCCTTGTGTCTCCAACAGCTGAAAGTCATGGGGTCGATGGCCCAAATAAGTTCTGTCTTAAAGCAAGACAGGTGGGCACTGGCACGGCCGAACTTGCACCCTACCGAGTCGCAAATTGCCAATGGGCGCGCTTCCAAAGCGTCACGAAGCCCAGAGCGAGGCTCCGCAAATCTGGACGAACTTACGACTGCGCGGAGCCTCGAAATGAAGGCACGTCCCGCAAATCAGTGCCGTGGCAGTTGGAAGTGTATCCGAGAGCGAGCCACTCTGCGGACAGCCGCAGGTTCGACTGGCACCCACCTTGTTTCCGGCCAAAATTGCGCTGCCCAATGGTCATCACCCCACCAAAAGGAAGGTGATATAGTCTTCCTGCTTTTCTTGCTCAAATAAACGGAATTGTGCCACCGACGCACCATCTTTCACCCACCTGTACTGCTGCTTCAAAGCGATATCCGCCGACTGGCGGTTTTAAGGGAGCCACATGGCACAAGAGGGTCGAGTCATTGTTTGTTGAAGCGATGGTTAAAACCTGCTTTGTTCCCTTCATGTGTAGTATTGGTTGAAACCCCCCTGTTGAGGCAATGTCCTATAGGTTGTATCATGTTTAAACCCCTGAAACAAGGAGGTTATCCACCCCACGTGATCTGTGCATGTTCATGCTTGTCCGTGGAAGGGTAGCCGGCTGAGCAAAGAGAGCAGGGGAGCCGCTGGCGCTGTTTTATTCAACAAACGAGACAGGGTAAACCGGGCACCTCCTCCAGAAAAGGTGGCTGTGAAGTCAAACAGGAAGCTCTCAAACATGACTGATGGACATGCATCCTGGAGTAACTGATATCCGCCAAATGGTTCCCAATGCCAATTGAAATGCAAACCCACCCGATCCCACCTGTTACAACTGCCCTCTTATTTTGATCTTCTAGTTTGCCCGTCTAGAGGACACCAGGGCAGACGCTCACCAGAGCGCATCAAGGTGTTGGTAAGCTGAGACTGCTGCCTCGCGCAAGTGTGGCTCAGCCCGACTTGGCTGAAGCCCAACTGCAAAAAGGGCAAACAAGGGTGAGAATGCCTTTGTTCCTGCAGCTTGCCACATCCCATGGCCTTTTTCCTGCTTGCCACATCCCATTCGGAACCCAATAGCCATCCTCTAAGCGAGAAAGGTGTCCCTTTTAACAGGGTGCTGTCAATCGCCCGGCCTCCGTCGCAGCAAGCGTCCGAGACCATTTGTCCACCACACCGGTCATTTCCACCTGCCAAGACGTGAAGATGGTGAGGCGGCGAACCAGTGCCCACACAGCTTGCCGGTGACAGCAAACCAGAAATGGCCGACGGACAAGCAACATGCTCACATGACAGCCTTGTGAACATTCCCCTTTCATGGTGTGTGCACCTTTGCTGGTCAGTGCCGCCCACATGGCGGACAAACGAAGCGCAGTGCAACCTTTCATGACATCTAGGTGAAGTATTTCCAAAGCCAAAACCGGGCCCACACATGTTGTTCCACCGGCTGCGCTCCAGCCCTTGTAAGCTCTTCTAATTCACCATGGCCAAGGTCCAACGTAACCTCGCCACTGCCAGCTGTATTCTTGACGACCCTGCACATGATGTCCACGCTAAATACACATGCGAAAGCCAAGGCCAACCTGTTTGTACATTCGATGGACGCAGCCCTGGACTCCCCCCTCTGTTCTACCAGTCTCAAAGTCATCCTCTCAAGGCATGGGGCCAACAGGGCGTCACTTTGAAACCATACACTTTGTATGGCGGCATTAAGATCACCTACACTTCCATTTGCTCAAGGCGCCAAAATGAAACTATGACCTAATCGCCAGTCATGATCATCTCCCTTCAAACCCAAACTTGGGAAAGCTGATAAAACAAGATGCAAAACCATGTGTGGAACGATATATAACAACATCAAGCCAACTGAGATGGAATAAGTGTGGAACTCCAGGCAAAAGGACGTAACAACGTACCCTTCCTCCCACTCACATGGCTGGGGGAGGTACTTGGAAGATCATTTTCCCCTGGAAGGGGGCCATTTCCCTGTGAGGTGAGTCAGGTGTGGCGCCGGCCTCGAGGTGCCGAAGCTGGGACAGGGCGTTGGGCGCTGCGCCTGCACGGACCCTCGCTGTGTGGGGCAAACGTTTCCAAGAAAAAAGAGAAAGTGCAACCCATGTGGCTGTGGCTCAAAAAACCGGAATTCCAAAATGGAACCCTGGTAAGTGGAGACAAAGGCCAAAACCTGCGTAACCCCTGCTGTTAAAATTTGAGCCACACCCATGTTGGAATCCCCTTGAAGAGCTTTGTTGGAAGGATGACATCGGAAAAAAAAGAAGCTTCCCAACGAATCGGGTGCCAGTGCCGACCCGGGTCTCCTGTCCTTATCTCACTTGCCCTCTGGGTTTGGAGAAGAATCCACGCCCTTCTCGCATGTGACATGGCATGGACTCATTGCTGAACTTCCTCAAGGTATGGGCTCGATGTCAGCATCTCAGTCAACTCGCCACTTCATGCACAGCACTCGGGGTGTTATGTCTTAAGCGACAGGGGTCGTGACAGCCGCCCTTCAAGAACCACAGGAGCCCCAACTGATATATGTCCAGTGCCAAACACCACGCGAACATCCCGTTCAGAACTTTTCAGCCATGCCTGGCCCAGCTTGGCAGAAGCTGCCAGGCACAGTGCCTTGAATATCCTCGCGGGAGGGAATCCCGAAAGCTGCTGAACATACTACTCACCCAACAGCTTGTTGCACCCAGGCTTGCTCGTTGTGAGTTTTGCAGGTGTATGAAGCCTTGTTGAGTGTTGTTTCTTTGCGGAAGACCTTCCTTTGCTAAGGCTTAGCCTTTGCTGCCAAGCTAAATTAGACAGCCATCCTAAATTGTCGAATGGTCGGGCATGGCACGAAGGGTCGGTCGCAGCTAGGATCAACAAGCAGCTACAAAGTCATTATCCAGTGACAAGAACTGACCGGACAATGAACAGATCCAGCTTCATATTGCATTCGTGGTCGGCGCACACACACACACAGCGCAAAACACACATGCATACACACATATTATATAATATGTTCACATACATGCACACTTACACAAAACACAAACCCACACACACACAAACACACACAAACACACAAACAAACGAACGAACGAACGAACAAACAACCAACCAACCAACCAAACAAACAAACACAAACAAACAAACAAACAAACAAACAAACAAACAAACAAACACAAACAAACACACACAAACAAACAAACAAACAAACAAACAAACAAACAAACAAACAAACAAACAAACAAACAAACAAACAAATAAACAAACAAACAAATAAATAAACAAACAAAAAAAACAAAAAAAACATATAAACACACAAACAACACAAACAAGACAAAACAAACAAACAAACAAACAAACAAACAAACAAACAAACAAACAAGCAAGAAGAAACACTGACTTGTGAAGTGAGAACACTGCTCCTCCTCTGAGCTGACTCGCTCCACAAGTGGAGGGGGCTCGTCCTCCTCCTCGCCTGTCAGCAGTGGCCAAGGTCAGCCCATTGCAAGCAGAGCTGGGTTGCTGAAGGGTCTCTAGGCCGGGTAACTTCGGAAAGGTCTTGGGATGTCTGGGGCAGCGTCTGAGTGGCCGCTACGCGTTGGAGGGAGGAGCTGGATTGAACTGCTCCGGGCCAATTTGCTCCAGCAACATCCAGCTTAAGGGTGAGCTAATTAATCGATTTGAATCCACTCAAAGCAAATCAGTTCACATCCTGCAAGGAAGGAGAAGCCGTTGAAGGTGTGTGTGTGTGTATGTGTGTGTGGTATCGGCCTGAGGCTTCACCAAGCATGCACTCGGGGTCGATCGCCGCAAAGGACAGCTCAAAAACACATGTGTCAACACTCACTCACGGTACTGTAAATCGCATTGATATGAACTACTCCACCCAGCCCCGCCCGAACTCGTAGGCCCACCTTCTGACACCCCCACACTCAGCATCAGCCGTCGCCGCAGGCGGTTGGCATCAGGTGTGCCGGTCTCGACCACGGAGAAGGAGAGGTTATTGGACGGGGACCTCGGCCACTTGACATATGGTTTCCCACTCCTTGCGTGGGGAACCATGTTAGACCTATGCAGAAAAAAAAGAAAGGAAACACCACAAGTGCGCGTTGTGCTAACTTATCTTCATGTGACATGATCCCATGTACTGCGAAACCTTCCGCGCGTCCAAATGACCAAAGGTGCCTGCCACGAACCTGGTCTGCTTGAAGATGTTTTCTTCGCGCACGCCTTCTTAAGCCTTGACTTGTTTTTGCTTCCGGTGAGTTTGGTTTAGCGGCTCTGCGTGTGTCTCTGTGTCTCTGCGCCTGTGCACGCGTGGGTCACACGATGCAGAGTTTCCTTCTGGCCCGGGGCTTCCAAAGCTTTGTGTCTGTAACCTTAGCGCCCGTGAGCCTTGGGCAGAGTCTCGACCCCTGGTTCTTTAGAATTTGTTTTGCTAGGCCTCCGGGGGAAAAAACAACTGAACATCTTCCGCTTAGCTTCCTCTCGTTGGCTCTGGACGGTTTTGTTGACAAAACTGTCCGCTCGTTGGCTAAGAATGACCAGAACGACTTAGAACGCAGTTCAAGTGAGTACATGGCTGCATGCACCTGTCACGTGCAGCACCAAACAACAAGGACATTCGCCTTCACTTTTGCTGCGCTCAAAGGGTACCAGGACCCAACTAGAGAAACGAAGCCTCAACCCATGCGCAACTCCAACACGGACACGCAGAGGAGGACACAAAGGCAAACACAGAGAAGACGCCCGGAAAGACACGTACACACACAGAGAGAAACATGGGGCGCGCAGCGCCGCGCCGCTTATTGACAGCGCCCGTCTTGCGGCAAGATTCGAAGAGCGCTTTTGCGGGCAGGCGGCGGGGCTCCCTCTTCTCGCCTGGGCTCGGCTCAAAGTGGGGAACAAAACTTTTCGAGAGGTTCTCATCCTGACTCACGTGAGGGGGTGACCAGTTTCTTGCTCAAACCTCCGACGACGTTTTTGCGATCTGGGCGCTCCCGCTCGGCGAAGAGGTCAAAGAGTTTGGACTCATCCACCTGCTGCATGTCCACCTCCTCAGCCCTTAGCGCCGGCCGCAAATGCCCTGGAAGCCCAAGTTCACAATAATACCCAGAAACGACCACAACATAAGATTGGTCTGCAAGGCATGGTCAAGGCTGGTTGCATGACCCATAGGACGTTCACCAGTCTATGCCATGGACCAAAAGCGAACAGTCGGAAATCATTGGCACTGCCTTTGTTGGTCTACTTGCAAAGGGTTGACTCCCAAGAAAAAGTTGAAATTTCCGGAAGCAACCTCCCCGCGAGTACCAAGCCCCACTTCTTGGGCCCAAGCAAAGAGGTCCGCGAGCTCCTTGAAAGCCGGTTCAGAGCTGGCGAGGCAGCCAGGCGCAGCTCCTAGCTGAGGCTCGGAACCTTCCCAGGTTTTCAATGGACACCTTAGAAGCAACCCACCCTTTTTGGGGCTCACCCCCTTTTTTTGTTGGGGGGGATCCTGAATTTTGCGGGGGTCTCCTATTTTGCTTGAGATTCCAGCTACGGATTTGGGGGCCTGTTTTGGCCTGCTTTGAGGGGAAACCCGAGGAAAGCACACATTTATGGCGGTCCCCCATTTTGGCACAACCCAGAATAAATGTCCGACAATCTCACCGGAAGCGGATCGGGGACTCTTTGAAATACAGAAATTACATTTGCCCGAAAACCCAAACCGATAGCTGGCAATACTTTCTGTTGCCCCCGTCACTCAGATACGTGCAACTGCTGTTTGGCCCGACAAGCGAAAGTCGCCCCATTGTGTGGTCTTGACTGGTAAATAGTCCTCAGTTTTTTCATACCTATCTCCTAATAGTGGGATATACGTATCTTCATAGTGGTTTCCAAATGAGGGAACCCCCCCCAAGCTGGGCGGTGTTCCCTTGATTTCCCGACAAAGACAACCGCACAACGGCTCGCAGGGATGAGGTCTTCCCATTGCCCGAACATCTTTGGCCGGACAAACCCCGAAAGTTGCAAAGAACTTAGAGAGGAAGGAGCTACCTTCCAGCAAAAGCCTGGAGTGTTGCCGTGGCATCTCGGCTTACAGATTCAAAAACCGTCAGACATGCTGGTCCGACTGCTTTAGTGTGGACTCCCGCCGAAAATATGTCCCTACAGCAGGTTTCTGCTCTAGATTGTCTTTGCCACTGCTTGCCGATTCCAATTTGTTTTCGGGGAACCTCGGCATCTGTATGTGGCTGTTGGAGCCGGACTTAAGCTGGGTCCAGCAAGGACTATAGGAGCCAGCATGGGAACCAGCATAGGAACCACCTTAGGAACCACCACAGGAGCCGTATTCCACTTATTGGGGGTCCGTCATAGGCACGACCCCCCGGTTCCGCGCCGAGAAAAAAAAGCTCGCGCCTCGAGCCAGTTCATCAGATGCTCCACAGAGTCCACAGAGAACTGTACTCGCTTCTCACCCTGAGAGGCAACCCGTGCACGTTGTTCACAAACCGGTGCCTTTGTCTGAGGCTACCTTTAGTGCCTGGGTTGCATGTGTTTTTGAGGCAACCTTCGGGCTGCTTGAAAAGGACACCAAGGCTGCCTCATTTGAGAGACACACCGAAGACATGAGTATATTTGGCCCATTTTCCTCCTTAGGGGCCAGTTGAGTCAACACCTTGCCCAATGTCTCTCATTCAATTTGTTCGGAGGCTCCTTCTATACACAAATTCTGGCGTGTCACAAAAAGTCCGGTGTGAGTCGCTCGGTCTGGATCATTGGCCAGCTTCTGTTCTGGATGACGCTCCTCATTGGCCATGTTGTGTCTGATTCATCAAAAACTGACACTAAAAGGGATCACCCAAACCACTGAGCTTTAATATACATATATATATATATACACATACATATTTGCGATTGGGACTGTCCCCTAGGTTTCCATTGTGGCTAATGCTGCTTTGTTTTGGATGGCTTCCCCAATCAAACCAAAGGGAGCCCACTGAGATATTGGGTTTCGTTTTTGGGGTGATTGACAGCGGACCATGGCTGCCACAGGGAGGGCCAATCAGCTTTTGTCCCGCCATCTCCTAGCAATTCCAATCCCATCATAATTTAAAACGAGACTCCGCAAACTCATATGCAGTAAGCAAACTATCAAGGACCCAAAACGGGGGTTCTGGGAATAGACAAGATATATGCCTCCGCACTGGCAAACTGGGCAAACATGGGTATGTCTCAAATTGGGGAACCTCTCCTGGGTGCTTGGGTATGTATGTTGGCGCAAACGATCCACGATGAAGCCAAACATAGTAAGCCCCGAAAATGGAAGTCGTGCTGTGTGCCCTTTGGTTTCACAAGGAAAACAACCCTAAAGTGAGCACCCGCGGAAAGAACTCACACACGCAAACGAACACACACAATTGCTTTCCCTGCTGCGTCCCCAGCCAGGTCCAGCTCGAACCCAGTGGGCGCCACCTTCATGAGTCCTGCTTGAGCGGAGACCCAAACCCAACCCCAGATGTGTCCACAGGCCGGGTGTTGGGGTTTATCATTGAATAACTTGGCAATGCGCATGGATTGTGACTCAACAAAATTTGAGGCCTTTGACAGTGTGGATTTCCAGAGGGCCAGGAAACAGCTTGCAGTGATGAGCCACCGTGCAGGTCAGGAAAGAAAAACAAAAAACATCTCTGGGAAATGCTTGATCACACACCCAACGAATAATCGTTGGAAGCCAGCTGCTTACCATGGCATATGAAGAGGTCTGATTGAGTCTGAAGGCCTTATGGTTACCATAATCATGTACAACAGCCTACGGCGTCGCCAATCAAACATCTGACACGCAAGTAGGCCAGCACGGATTTGATACTACCTCAGCGAAGGCTGGGAGGGACGCAGCTGCTGGCAAGGGTTTTCGTTTTATGAGCTTCTATATTCGCGGGAAGGGGTCTGATCCGAATAGCACAAATCTTTCATACTACCCCAGGGCCTGTGAGGGTGGCCCGGCCAGCCACTCTAAATATCCGATTTAAACACATGTTTTGCACTACCTCGGCCCGGCCCTGGTATATTCAATGTCGGCAACGTAAATTCCTTCACCAATAAGCCGCGCCAAACATGTGTTTCATCGACATGTTTGTAACTCCTTGCTTGGGCCACGAACCACATTGACTTGCAAACCAACAGGAGGATCTCTTTTCAGACGACGGTTGCTGTGAAAAACACAACTCAGCCGTTTGGCAATGGAGTCCTTGACGCAAATCCTGACCAAAAAACCAGAGCGTAGAATTCCATGATCCTGACACACACACACACACAGTCACAGACACAGATACACAAACACACACACACACACAAAGACACATGCAGACACATGATATATCTAATTATATCTGTGTACAAATAATAAGTACATACACGGAGACACGCACACAAAGACAAAAGCTCACACAACACAAGGAGAAATAGAGAGGAGAAATAGAGAGAGAGAGAGAGAAAGAGAGACAGAGAGAGAGAGAGAGAGAGAGAGAGATTGAGAGACGGGCACAAACACCACCACGAATACAACCATACTCTCATACATAGATATACATGTATATATATATGTGTATTATAATATGATATATTATAGCTGAGGGCATGCCTCTAACAATAACTCTTTATAACGATGTCAAGCCAATTTTAAGCTAAGTTCATACCAATTTAATACCAATTACCAACTTTACGCTAATTTGTAGACCAATTCAATACCAATAGTTTTCCGATTTTTTCCAATTGTGTACAAGAAACAATGCTGAATTGAAACATTATTTTTTCAAAACAAGTACCAATTGTCTGAAATTTATATAGCAAAGGGCTCAGATTTCATACCAAATTGGTATGAATTTGGAAAATTGGCATGAAATCTGGGCTTGGGCGTTGCCAAATTTATACTAATTTTGCAGGCCATATGTTATACCAATTTTATACCACATTTGTACGACATCTGAGCCGGGTTGTCCCCTCAAAAACAAGCGGTCGGACTCCAATGTTGGAAGTGGCGCGCTCTGATTTTGTACCCTAGTGTTCAAACAAACTTGTCAGGTTCGCCAACACTTTGCGTAGTGACTCTGCCCAAAATACGTGGTGATTTTGCCCCCAAATTGGTATTAATTGGTAGCAACTCTGCCCAAATTCACGGCAAGTCTGCCCAACAAATTGGCATAAATTGGCTGTGATCCTGCCAATAATTGGTAAATATGTCCACAATTGGACATGAAACAACAGCCCTAAGACATTTATTCATAGAGGCAAGGCCGAAATTATAGTTGATTTTACATTCTGCCGCATAACTCAGCGCGTGGCGCCTACGCAAGCAAACCCGAATGGGACGCACGGCATGCAGGAAGTCAGAAGTCAATGCACATATGCACAAAACCGCATGGGACGCAGCATGCTAAGATGTTTGGCCGTACCGTGTGCAAATCCCCATGGAACGCACTAGGATGTGCAACTGGGAGAAGCGTCAAGTGGGCGCACTGGAAGCAATAAATCCCCATGGGACGCCGCGTGGCAGGTAGAGACTAGAAATGCTGACGCGCAGACAAAAACACATACACAATCACAGGAGACAAACAAACACTGAGAAATACAAACAGAGAGAGAGAGAGAGAAAAACAAAACAATACAACAAGAGGTGTCCGTGCACACCCACACAGACACGCACGTACACAAAGACACGACTCCGCAATTCCTGTCAGCTGTAATCACTTCTTCCCATTTATAAACGGATCCCCACTAATAGTACCCCTCGTTCTTAGGGGCCACTCAAATTATCAGGCCATGACTGTTGAAGAAGTTCAGGGTATCTCTTGGTGATATGATGTCCTCTCATCTATCCTGTGACAGTAGGCACAAGCAACAATGGCTTCTCTTTCATAAGATCGCTCTCAAACCAAAGGGCTTCCTGCAGGCGAGGTTTGCATTATCAGGGTCGTAAGGTTCTGAGCGCTTGTTTCCCTCAAAAACTAACGGGTCCCCTCAATCCTCTCCTTTCAGAAGCCACAAACAACAGAACCCAAAACTGGCTGGCTTGTGTGATTTCTTTACTCAATAGTTTCATCCTGAACACTTGGTTTTGCAAATCGAAAGGGTCCCTTCCCTTTAACACATATTTGCAAATTAAAGGGGTCCCCCAAATTGGAACACAATACTAACAACGCAACCTGAAACTGCTCTGAGAAACCGGGGCACCCTAATAATAAAACCCCGCGAGGTTTTCCTTCTTGGGGGGGGAGACTTGTGTTGTTAGGGGGACACGATTTCTTAGTCCCCTTGCTCGCTCTCATCAAGGAAAAGGCACCACATGTATACTTGTTCACCAAAAAAAACAAAACAACGGCAAGATCAGCAACCGGAAGTTCTTAGGCTGAGCAAAGTGGGTTCAAACGCCTGGGAGCCCAAAGGAGGTCGTTTAAACAGTGCGAAAGGGTTTGAAACAGTATTTCGGGAGAGAATAAACAGGCCCTAACCCACCAACAAGAAGAGACAGTTTAAGCCCCCCAGTCCCAAGGGCAAAGTGGTGCCCTCGGCTGGCAATGAACCACACAGATAACAAACGGGGAATCCTGTTTAACCACAAAACCCAAACAGGAAAGGGGACCAGCGCAGCAAACCGAGCGAGCGCAGCAAGCAAGCGAGCAAAGCAATTAACCAAGCAAAAGCGGAGCAGCAACAACAGAGCAATTCCCAACCCAAACCTGACCCACGCCCAAGAGCACCCAACCGCCGTGGTCTGGGGCGTGGAGCTGCTGCCCACGCACCAGTACGGCGCCGCTGGAGGCGCTTTTGACAGCTATGGCAAGTCGAGTCGCCGGAATTAAAGGCTTGAGCCAAATGTCGCATTGGACATCGGCATGAAATGACATACGCTATGATAAAAGTACATGCCCCCAAAAACACCCCCCTCGCCTGTACAAAGAGAGGAAGTGAATTTGGAAGGGCGCATTGGCCATGTTGAAGTTGAAAAGCAATGAACAAGAAAACCAAAGCCGATTAGGCTACCAGGGTTCGCGACCCCATACCCGGGCACTCTTTGGTGCCCGGATCCCGCCACCACCCCGAATTACGGGTATGGGGCGGATTCGCGCCGGTAGCCAAATCAAACGAGAGAAAGCAAAAAGAAACAGAAACAAAGATTCAACTCCAGAATGGCAGGCATGAAATAAAAATACATTTGCAATGCAACCACAACGAACCGTAAGGTTCAGGTGGATTTAGTTCCTGAATTCATTATTCAGGCGCATTGGCCCATTGGTTGAAACATGGTGCTTCGACCACAAGACCCTGGTCTTTAAAGTAGCACCGTCTAGGCGCGCGATCACGCAACGACCTTCGGTAGGAGTACCACCAGCTGCAATCAGCGGTTCAGGTCCGAGTAGGACCTCACCGGCAGCGGTTCGGCGCATCCGTGATCCTCACCACAGCACCTTGATGGGTTCCATCACCAGCAGCAGCAGCGGTGCTGGATGATGCCGACCACCAGCAGCCGTAGACGCCGGCGAGGGTAACCGCCTTGCTGTGACGACGCACACCTGACGGGTCATCGCAGCTTGCGCGAATAGCGCACAGCCACGCATGCAACTAAATTCTGGAGTGGCGAATAGCCGAATCATTGAAATATGGCAAGGAGCATAGCCCTCCCGGAAAAATCACCGGAATAAAGGCATGCGCGCGTTGGCGCAGTCGTGCAAAAAACGCATGGGCAGACTTCAGGTATCACCGTTGTCGCCCACCGCCGTGCCGCCCCTTCCCCTTGCTGGCATTCCAGTCCCCAGGGGGAGGAGGCACAGTCTCGGCCAACTCGTCACCGTCACCCCAGGTAGGGGTATGCGGCGAGTTCGGATTCTCGAACTCGCGGGGATCAGGCCACATTTGTGGCATCATGCCAGCCATGGGCTGTTGCATGTACCCTCCCATTGGGAAAGTGGGACACATCGGACTCGGGAACGGGTAAGGGGCAGCCTGTGCACCCTTGAATCCCGACCCGCGAGCATCAGGCTGATACCCGCCAGTGGGAGTTCTCGATCTGCCAACTGCGGATCCCTTGCCTTTGTACTGGTCACCCTGTCCTTGTTGTGTCACCCTTGTGACCCTTGTGACCTGGATTCAGGTCGCGGGGTAGCAGACCGTTGGTCTCCCCTAGGAGTGGCTGCCCGCCTGTGGTGTTTTCAGCAAAAACAATGGCGCATTGGCCGTCGCGCCGTGCAGCGGGGACCATGTCAACCTTGTTGTCTTCGACATAAATGTATGCCTCAGCATACTCAATTGGGGCCGTGATGGATCCACCACTGGCCCGCAGAGAGTCGATACTCCAATCAAGAACAGTGGATGCATCGAAACTCGGATCCTCACTATTGAAGTCCGCGAGGCGTCGCTCGGCCTGTACCAATGACATAATGATGTCCGCTCGTGAGGCGCCTAGGCCATACAGCGGAACCAAATACCCGT